GGATTTAGAATGCAAGCGGTGTCGACAGCGATATTCTATTACTTATTTAGCGTCGAATTAAATTATTTATCGTCACTTTAACCAGCACTTCTCCGTCTTACAAATGAAAAGACGTAAATTGATGACACTTTTATAGGCAGAAAATTACATTACATAACATCACGCCTTTTATCCCCGAAGGGGTAGGCCGAGGTACACGTTATGCCACTGTACAATGTAACACCCACTTTTCACTGTTTATGTTATGAGTCTCATGTAATAGGGGCGAGCCTATTGCCATATACCGGGCACAATTCCAGACTCCGTGTTACGATTGAGATTTTTTTAAAAACCCAGTAATACTTTGTCCGACCCGGGAATCAAACCCGAGTCGGGTTTGTTGTGTATAATCTATCTATTTGAAAATGAATCCCTTTTCCCTTGGTCACGGCATCACCCGTGAATGGCTGGAACGATTTCACTAATTCTTTTTTTATAATATTTGTTAATCCTATGGGAACGGGATAAAACGGGATTGCGCGTACGAAGTCGTGGGCTATAACTTTCGAGCGAATTAAAAACTTAAGCCTTTGCAAATCCAAGTAAGTAATAGAATCATTATATAACACAGCTTTATGAAACCATTTACAGTGCAATCGTGACTAAACCATAACCCGTTAGGTAAGTCTGTATCTAGATAGAATTATAGATTAATAAGCAATCTCCGTAGGCTAGGCACGGCTTGATCTAGATTACAAATGTCAGTTCAAAATTCGTTTCTGATATTAAGGACTACATTGCAATAGATAATGTCATAGTAGGACTTTTATAAATTACGATAGATTTGTATGTGTTGTTAAGGCAAATTGTACTGAATGCTTTAGAATTGGGATGATGACAGGGTATGAAAATTAAAAATGTAATTAGTCCATAAGATAGGTATTTTGTCGTATAATAAAACGATACTTAGATAAAACGAATTAACGTTTAGGAGTGGGCGCTAAAACGTCATTTCTACTTATAAAATGTACATAGAAGTGACGTCACGCGACATTTCAAATCAATATATCGTCAAAAGTATTTGTTTCTGTAAGAAAACAAAAAATACGTGTCTAATGATTTAAAACAATCTACCAGACGGATATTAAAATAAATATTAGACATCTACCTATTATATGCGTCTCAAAATATACCTTCTCCATGTGAGAAGAGGCCTTTACTCAGTAGTGGACATTTTATAGGCTGTTGATGATGGAAATAAGAGAGAATTTAAAACAAGCTGATTACAATGACGCCTTAATGCTCTTGAAACGAAAGATGATGAATGTAGTCTGTGACAAAAGTATTTATCGAAGCTATATGTGAATTAAATCGACATATTTTAGCTATAAATATTGAGTGTGCTTCTAGACAATCACTTTGAAAATGTACAGAAGGGATGCAGCATAATTTACAAACAAATAAATAATTTCAGACTTAGACTTGGCTTCCACAAAGTGCCCAAGACCGTGATTATCTAGCAGGTCTATCATAAGTAACTACACGTCTGTTTCCAGGGAGAAACAGATGTTAATAATGCTTCGAGAATAAAAAAGAAGTCATGTGTTATTATTTCGGTTTTAGTGCCACGGTCGAACCGTTTTTACTTGATTATTTATTTCAGATTCAAGTTTTCGGCATACCGGTTATGGTCTGAAGATTTTCTCATACTCCTTGACCGACTAACTTTTGTTATGTTGTTGTTTAAAATAATCTTTATTTGGTCTAGTGGACGCTTGACTACCGAAAATGGGGTCTTTTTTTAAGCGGGGAAAAATCATCAAATGACTTCTCCCGCCTGGGTGAAGCGGGAGCCGGCATGTCAGACTCTTACTGAGTAAAAACCACCCCGTTGCTACTCCTGCACTTCGAGCCGGAGCCCCGGCAACCCGTTAGGTTCTCCGCGACTCCGTGTCTGTATTCCGATTACGGGGTCTAGCAACGTATTATAGGGATTAATCGGTGTTTTTTTTTTCGAAAAGGGGTCTAAAATATTCTGATTAAGAGGTCTGGCAAGGCAATTGAGATTGATTTTTAATATTCTCAAAAATAATCATGCCGAAAAGTGTAGGTACACCTCTGTATACCCTTTACGGGAACAAAAGACGTGTTGGTATTATTTTTTATTCTCCCCTTGACCCAGTAACTACATTGTTATTATTATTAAATAATAACCTTAATTTTTATATGCAACCGCCTTTGTTATTTCCTTTTTTGTTATGGAAGGTTAAATTATATAATTTACTGTAATTTCTGTTGTTCTCCAAGAAGATATTTCGGCAGTTTCCTCTACCCTTGATTTTGAGGTCTTATCTGATATGATGTGGTCAAATTTCAAGTATTCATTTGTTATTCTGATTGTTAAGGAAGGTTAATCTTATCTACTAACATAACGTAATATAACATCACGCCTTTTATCCCCGAAGGGGTAGGCAGAGGTGCACATTATGCCACTGTACAATGTAACACTCACTTTTCACTTTTTATGTTATGAGTCCCATGTAATGGGGTGAGCTATTGCCATATGCCAGGCACATTAAAAAAAACTACTTACGGTTTTTGTCAATATATAGTCCCTTAACTCGTCGAGTACCGTCATTATAGACACAATTATAGAAAAATAGGTTGCGGTTACCGGTGTCCGCTTGGTGTTTGACAGTTTAATTGAAAATTAAGTTATTTATGAAAATGATACCCACGTGAAGAGTAGAAGTGTTTCCAAGTGGATTGTACGCTGTCGTCACACACAACGTCAATAAAGCGAAACCGAAATATGACCCCAAAAACGGTTTAATAAGGACCCGGTGTTTACACGCAACTGAGTAACGAATTGCTTGTAAAAACTGGTAGTGCATCAATTTCACTGTTAAATCATTTAGATGCGTCCATTGTGGTTGGTAGGGTTGGCAGTGGGCCACATATTTTTTTCTTATTTTGTTTTTTATTTATCAAGGAGAACAAACCGCATTTAAAATGTATTACTATAGACGTACTTAAATATTAGACCTTATATAGCAACTACTAGTTGTCCAAATTATAAATAAATAAATAAACAGCAGTATAAAATGAATATCAAATATAATACGAATGAATACAATAATAGATTTGACAAATACACTTCTCACTACGTTGCCACAGATTAGCGTAAATTTCATTTCATTTTCTTTTTTTTACATTGTCCCTGACTAGGATTTTCTCCTGTGTCATGGGTGTGTTTACAAACATATAATCATAGTTGGACTTATAAGCCAAAACGTGGAGCAAAAATTCTTGAATATGTTGTAGAAATTGAACTAGAAGCAGCCTATCTTACATTCACTGCATCAATCATACAGTCAACGGTACAAAAATTTTAGATAAGTAATGAATCTTCTACATTATACGCTACTTGCAGATCATTCTCTATCAAATAAAATTGGACCCTATTTAAAAGTCGACTTAAGAATTAAAAACACAATAACATAATATTCACACAGTGTGCCAACCCTACATTTGCCAACTGGGCCGTTACCGCCATCTGTTGCGTAACTACGACACTTTTTTCACTCTAAACACACACGCAACTATAAAACAAGACGATTGACTAATTTACAACATTTTTTTTACAAGTACCCATTAAAAATTACAATTTAATTGCGTAATTTACGACAAAAAATAATATAGTGTTACTTTTTACCGTAATTTTAGGAGTTAATTCTGCTCTTATGTCAAATTTATACTGTTTACCGAAATTATACCATTACTGATTCTATATGATTACGCAATTATACAGAGGTTAATATTCGGAATGTATCCAATGCATTATTTTTTAATAATAATAAATATGTCGATTCATAAAATTATGAGCGAAAGTTTTAATAAATTAATGAAATAAATGTTGCTGTTTATTTATGTTCGAATTTATTTATTTATGTTTTAAAAGAACAATTACATGTTATTTATTTTTGTGTTATTAGTTGTAGATATAATATTTATTTATAATTATTATTATTATGGATGTAGGCTTGTAGCAGATTGAGATAATAAGATTCTATTCATAACAAAGGTTTATGTGTGAATTCTTTATTGAATTATACAATAGGAAGACTTTTGTTTAGTTTTATGTATGTTTATTGTTATTTTCAAAATATTATGTTCTTTGTTCTGAAGACTAGTCATAAACCATTTGGTAGTTAGTGTGAATTAATAATTGTGTTATGAACCGAAAAATTTAATTTGAACCTTACCATTTTTATTTTATTTAAAAAAAAATAATGCTTTGTTACTTAATTGTGTATTTATTTTATGGCATAATAAATTTTTGTAATGAGCACTGTAAACTTTCGCTTAAATAAATTATTACAAAATTATAATCAGTAATAAAAATCAATTCGTTTTACGAGCAATTACTTAAAATTACTAAAATATTATATTAATATCATTGACTTCCGTTACGTTTACAGAAGTAGTAATAAATTACTCGAATTACAAAAACCTACTTTTGTTTTTAGAATTAAGTAATAATGACTTAATCGCGGTAACTGATTACTTAAACCAACTTAACCGTAACTTAATGATCAACTTTTACTAAGTTACTAGAACGTTCTATGTACCGATTATTTGGTTCAAGTCTTTCACGGATTTTATAGAAGCCTTTCACACACTTTGTGTGGAGACTCAATGCATTTTAAGCATTATTTTTTGTATTGTAACTTTAGAGAAAAGTAAATTGGTTTATATTATTTTGTTTATTAATATTTGAATGGCTTTAAACATTAAATGTTGTATTCGTAAATATGCCTTGTATTATTTTTATATTGTTGATATTTGTCATATGATTTTTTTAGTAAAATAACATATTTGAAACTGCATTTGTGAACACTAATGTGCACTCAAAGAGGCGTGGTTTTTAGACCTAATACTCCCGATTTCCACCCGGAATTTTACAGAAAATCACTTGTTATTTTAATTAATCTTCTACATAATTGAATTAAAACACTGACCTCTTAAAACATCGGCGGGGATCAGCCTCTTGTAGGTCTTCGGCTTGTCATCCTCCTTCTTTTCTTCAGCGGCAAAAGCCAAGGCGAAAACGGCAAAAGCAACGAAATATTTCATTTTGAACAACACCTTACGAATGCTGATGGGATAAAAAAGAAAAATATGTACGGAAATGTACGATCGGATTTCACGTATGACGCGTGTCAACGCCGCGGCTAGACTGAGTTAAATGTTCGAGTTTCGCGCCCTTTTATGCCAAATGACAGGCGAAGAGTGAACGTAAAAAAAGATGGCTGCATATTTTTTTTTCACATGCATCTCAGGGCTGACTTTTATTGTGAAATTTTTTTATTATTATTATTGTTGTTTTTTTTTATTCGTTTCGTTTGGTTATCTGATCTTTTTAGATGGTAACTGTTTGGTGATGTCGGAAGGATTTGCTTGTCCTTAATGCGATTTTGAAATCGAGTGTGACTCATGTTTGGTTGAATAGACTTCGGACGGCCATTGGTTTTATTGTTGTGCTTTTTCGACTTTCAAAATTGTTCTATAATTAGCACGGTGTCTATTGTTAGAGCAACAAAATCGGAACTTATTGCAACATATTTTGACGTAGAAGCCATTGGCATCAATTAAATCCCTGCCACCTATAAAAGGTCGTTCTTCGGATCGTTTGGAAAACATAACATTACATCAGGCCTACTATCCCCGAAGGGATAGGCAGAGGTGGACATTACGGCACCTAATACCACTGTACAATGTAACACCCACTTTTCAATATTTATGTTATGAGTCCCATGTAATAGGCCATATACAGGGCACATTTCCAGACTCCGTGTTTATACTGAGGTTTTTACAAACCCAACAATACTTTGCCCGACCCAGGATTCGAACCCGAGACCCCTTGTTAGCAGTCGCATTTGCGACCACTCTGCCAATGAGGTAGAATGGAAAAAACTTATTAAAATTAAATTAAATTCAGCCATTAGTAATACTCCATTTTTAACCTAGACCTACGGGCTTCAAACATAAGAGTATATATTTAAAAAGAATTCAACCTAGAAAGTGCTACTTCCTGGTCTTTTTTCTTTGCACAAGCCCGCCACAACCTCCCGAAACCGCTGCAACTTCTGTAAGCCAGGATCTACAGTAGATACAACCATGAAAACACCGGAACACTGAAGTCCGGCGCGTCCCAGGGACATGAGTAACTGTCTTGGTTCCCGCAACGAATTGAATCAGTACTTCCTGGTCTATATAAAATAATAATATGTAGTTGCTTAGTCCGCTCTTACAGCAGCCACAAGAAGAGATTTTTTTTTTTAAGGGGGGAAAATCATCGAATGACTGCCCGGTGAGGCGGGAGGGAGTGTCAGACTCTTACTGACTAAAAACCACCCCGTTCCTTCTCCTGCACGTCGAGCCGGAGCCCCGGTTACCCGTTAGGTTCTCCGCGACCACAAGAAGAGATAAGGTGACAAATAGTGTATTCTAATGCCACCACACAGTTTGTTGGGTATATACCACCTCCTACTTCTACTGTATCTATTTTTTTCTTTTTTAAAAAACTTTACCTCGTACTACCTACTACTCTTCTCAAAGTTCCTTAATTTTTATTTAATTTTTTTTATAGCGTAAGCCTGTAAACGAGCCGACGGCGACGGATCACCTGATAGTAGGCAATCGGCGCCGCCCATGGACACCCGAAATACCAAGGTGTTACAAGTGCGTTACTGGCCTTTTGGGAATTGAAAATTTGAGGATTGTTAAGAATTCGGGGATTCGGGAGTCTCACACGACGAATCACAACGCAAGCGTTATTTCACGTCGGTTTTTTGTGAGGCCGTGGTCTCCGGTCGAGCCGGCCCATTCGTGGCGAAGCATGGCTCTCCCACACTTAAAATAAAATAATAAATAATGACTGCACGGTTGGCTCGGTGATTGCGAAACTGACTGCCGTGCAACGTGTAGCGACTTCGATACACGGAGTAACTTTGTGTGATCCACAAATTGTTGTTTCGGGTCTGTGTGTCATGTGTATGTGAACTTGTATGTTTGTAAACGCACACACGACACAGGAGAAAATCCTAGTGTAGGGCAATATTTTTTTGGGAAACCAAATTGTGCGTCCCTAGTGTATGATGGTAAAAAATTAATCAATTGGCATTCCCTGTATTGTCTATCTATTGTAGTGTTTAATATTGTTATTAAATAATATTTAAATATTTTTGTCGAATTACCTTCTTCTTTTGTCTTAGTCAAAGGATTATAATTATTCAAGAATTCAAAATAAATTGACTGCTTCATTGGCCGAGTGGTCGCAAGTGCGACTGTCGGGCAAGGGCTCTCTCTCGGGTTTGATTCCCGGGACGGGAAAAGTACTACTGGATTTTTTAAACAAATGTGCCCGGTATAGCAGTAGGCTCACCCCCCATTACATGGGACTCATAACATAAATAGTGAAAAGTGGGTGTTACATTGTACAGTGGCATTAAGTGTCGTAATGTGCACCTACCCCTTCAGGGATAAAAGGCGTGATGTCATGTTAGCTCTGTCAAAATGAATTCATATACTGATTTATCATCGTCATTATAATAGGGTAGTTTCCTAAATTTTATTTTAATGTCCGTCTGGTACATTAATTTAAAACTATAGATATGTATTGTTATCAAAGTCAATTCAGACAATCGCGAGATATTCGCGCAGAACATACATATTATACAACATATAACGTAATTAACGCACACCCTCAAACACCCCAGTTACAATATTATGTTATAATCATAATACATACACTAAATTTTTAATTTAACATGTATATGCATCCTTACTGGTCTTGTCATAAGGTTTATTTTTCTTTATTTTGTATTGAATGATAGAATTTGTATGAATACAAATAAAACTGCGATTTTAAAAGTCTTATTGCTTTGACTTACGGTCCATTTCGATTTGTTTTAACAATACAGGGTTAATATGACAATAATTTTCGTAGCTTTAATTAGTTTTGTGATAAAAAATTACCTATACTAGAAATTATATAATCGATTCAGTTAACGATTCTGAACAAACTATTTTCAGGATGTGCGTTATTTAAGTTACATGCTGTATACAGGTGACACTGAATACCTCCTATTTTGTAAGTCGGTTAAAATATCACATTAAACTGTCAAACACTAAGCGATCACCGGTGACCGCAACCTATTGTTCTATAATTGTGTCTATAATGAAGGTACTCGACGAGTTAAAAGATACGCCTATAGAAAAATACATCGTGATGTTATATCATGCTGGAAACGAAACGGTTGCATTTGAAACCAGCACTATGACTCACGTAATATTCAATCACAATTTATTACTTCAGTCTGGAATATACACGCGACCAAAACTACTAATACTAATATAAAAGTGTATGTACTTATGTTCGACTGCACCACGGTTGGTGCGGTGGCTGGGCAACCGGCTGCCGTGTAACCTGTCGCGGGTTCGATTCCCTCACGGAACAACACGTTGTGTGATCCACAAATAGTTGTTCCGGGTCTGTGTGTCATGTGTATGTGAACTTGTATGTTTGTAAACGCACCCACGACACAGGAGAAAATGCTAATGTGGGGCAAAGTTTCAGTTTAAAAAAATATGTGTATGTCTTTTTTTTATTGAATAACCCGGTAAACGAGCAAACGAATCACCTGATGGTAAGCAATCGGCGTCGCCCATGGACACGTGGAACACCAGAGGCGTTACAAGTGTGCTACCGGCCATTTGAGGATTAAACATTTGAGGATTCAGAGATTGAGGTGACTGGGGAAGGGGGGGAGATGATTGGTCCTCCGGTAACTTCATTCACACAACGCAAGCGTTGTTTCACGTCGGTTTAAATACTGTTTAAAGTTTGTTTGAATACAATTCTGTCACCACTCCTACTCTTCCCGTGGGTGTAGTCAGAGACGACTAAAGAACTACACATCACCAACATTTATTTAGCTATTAATATAATTATTATGTGTAGGAGAGCCATGCTTCAGCACTATTGGGCCGGATGGATCAAAGTTGCGCTTGCTTGTGAGGTTGCCAGCTCAATTAACCCAGTTTTCCCATCCTCTGAAACCCCGAATCCTCAATGATCCTCAAATTCCTAATCCCCAAAAGGCCGGTAACGCACTTGTAACGCCTCTGGTGTTTCAGGTGACCATGGGCGCCGATTGCTTACCATCAGGAGACCCGTCTAAACAGACATCCCATAAAAAAATATACAAACAAAGTCGTAAATAATGACTAGTATAGACTTTATACAGCAAATCAAAGTATCTTGAACTGTAAATGTTCAAATTTATTATCATTTTGTAATAAAGACAAAAATCAGGGAACTAGACAATTACACTTATTAATTACTAGATATTATGTACTGTTGCATACTTGTTTTCTACTTAAATGAGTCGTTGGAATTAACCAGACCCGAGCATTCAGCACGTCGCGTTCCGCACGCGCCTCAAAGAGCCATCAGACTACCACAATTTTTTTAAGGTCTAATGAGGGAATATCGTGGAATGACTTACCCGCCTAAGTGGGGCGGAAGGGAGTGTTAGAATCTTACTGGCTGATTCCGATACGGAGCCGCGGAGAACGTGAAAGGTTATCTGGGCTCCGGCTCGAAGTGCAGGAGTAGGAACGGGGTGGTTTTTAGTCAGTAAGAGTCTGACTCTCCCTTCTGCCTCACCCAGGCGGGAGAAGTCATTCGATGATTTTCGCCCCTTACTAAAATGAATCGTTGGTCTGTACTTACAATACTGATAGGGGTGGTACACACACACAGACTAACTAGTCACGCGACCTATTGACCGTAACGTGAAGTTTACAGTCTATAGCATCATAACATCATGTCTTTTATCGTCGAAGGGATAGGCAGAGGTGCACATTACGGCACTTAGTGCCACTATACAATGTAACACCCACCTTTCACTATTTATGTTATGAGTCCCATCTAATAGGGGGTGAGCCTATTGCCATATACCGGGCACAATTCCAGACGGTTACATCGTCACGTGTTGTATTCTTACTAACCATACTAAAATTCGTCTAGTAATTTTAAAGCATATCGCGTTCACACAATCAGAAAAACGTTAGAGGACATATTTTTTGAATTATGATAGGACTATCGACTTCTACGCGGTTTCACCCGCTCTGCTCGCCTTCTATTGGTCATAGCGGAATGTTATGTAGCCTTCTTCAATAAATGCACTATC